AATTGTGAAAAAATATCAATCCCTCTATTTTACTATTTAACAATAACGCGACAGGTTATTCGAAATAATCGACGAAATAATTCACATATTCGAGTCGCAGAAGCGGGAAATCGTCTCGTACGAACGCGTAGTTAGTTCATCGTGGACGATATTTCTCGAGCTACGTTTATAAGATAGAAACGACACAGAAGAGCGGAATCTCTCCTTCCGGTCGTGATTTTTCCACGGTAGTAGTTCACGTGTCGCGTAAGAAAAGTGATTTTTCTCAGGGTCCGCGGCCCGCTTGCTATTTAGAGCGAAATATACGAAAATCAGACCTCGTCGAAGCAGCTGACACACGATCCATTTCCTCTCCTCTTTACCATTACACCCTGCTGCTCTCACTGCTCTATCGTTGACGAGAAAATTCTGGTAAGCAATCAGTTTTCTTCTCCAACGATATTCCCCGCCTATCTCAGCTGCTCCCTCCAATTTGCATGGATCACCGTACCGAATAATTCACTTCCTTTTTCCTTTTTTTCTCCTTTTTTTTCTCTTTCTTTTATATTTGAAACGTGCAAAACGTCTCTGGATACTTTCACGTTTCTTCTTGTTTCTCTAAGTATCGTGGTGAATGAAAGACACATGGCTCGAAATTAAGTTAAACAGTTCATGGGTTTCGAGCATGGGCTTTCCTCAGTTTTACGATGGCTCCGCGACATTTTCCAAGGGAACTCGTTTTAAACAAAACGAACGTAGCTTTAATTTTGAAAGATAACGTCGTACCAATTTTTCGACGCACCTGCGCTTCTCCACTCAACCTCCTCTGTGTTTTTCGTTTTAAGGGATAGAATAGTTGGCCCAAACATCGAAATCAATCGGACAACTGATTGCTCCACCTTCTTCCGCTTATCTTGTCAACCATTCTCCCTGTATTTCTTTCTTTCTCGAGGGTGGAACGTGGCGCGTAACAAAGTACCTTCAAAGGAACTGGTCAACAATGTTCTCTTTGGGAAACGAGTTCGAGATTTTCTCTTCTTCTTCTTCGTTTTATCGGCGAGATAAACCAAGTGCGAGCAATAACAACGTACAAATTTCAGGACGTTCAGGAAATCGATCACGTCCCGGTACTTCTTGATCCTCGATGTCGACAATATTATATCCTCTTCTTGTTGAGATTCGACCATTTTTCTGGGTTCTGTGTGCACGTTGACATGAAAAATGTTCATAGTGTACATTCTTCATCGGAATTGAAGACTTTAAGGGAGGTCAATAGATAGCTGTAAACTTGTTGCACTGATTTCACGAGAATCGATCATGTTCTTGGTACACACAGCTGCTTTGTTCTTCAAATTCTGAGTATTTAGGTATTAATTCTCGAAGGTTATTTGTAATGTAATGAAATTTTAAGAGAATGAACTTTTTCACTTGTCGATTTATAAATCCTCGATCTTCCATTTACTTTACGTTCGAACGATCGCGCAGACAATTTCACTTTTCCACATGCAACAGAACCACAGCCAACTTCCTGTCTGATCTACCACTGCTCCAACATTTCAAAGCAAAAATTACGGAACACAAAATTAATTTGAAAGAAAGTCTTCAGGATTCGTTAAATTAATTACGGAAGATCTATCTGTGCGTCAGTATCTCTGGAAGAAAGAAAACGAGGCTATTCACGTTTACTCAGCACTCGAACACCTCGCTATCAATCCTCGTATCGTTGATTCTCTCTGCGAACGAGATGCACTGCACACACGTCGCTGTTCAACTCTTCAAAATCGAACCGCGAAAAGGCGGTCAGTAGGTAGGCCAAACGGTCGTGAAACCGATTCGAACGAAGCCATGGTTCCTCGATGCAACTTCTGCTGAGCCACCACGCTGAAAGTAATTCCCTTTCAGCACAAGAATCGACCACTCGAACACTCGGGCCCGGCTATCTTTCCCTGTTTACAGCGATAGCCGAGGCACGTAGCGGAAGAACAGCGTCCTCTTCCCGCCGCTTCTTTCTTCTTCCTCCTCTTCTTCCTTTCCAGTTCACTTGCGAACCACGATGCACTCTCCTCCGATCGAGTGCATAGGGAATAACGACGGTTCATTTCGTCCTCGACGTTTCTCCGTGTTTCCTCGACCAATGATAAAGTCGAAGGCGTTCGAGAAGAGCTCCGACGATCCAACCTCTATCTGGATACCTGTCGAAATCTCCCGAACGACAAAACGATCTACTTAACAGCGCAAACTCTATTGATTGTTGCGCGTTTATCTTGTCGAGGAGTATGGAGGATGTTTTCAAATTAATTCGTACAATATGGAAGATTATTTCAGTCGTTTCTGGGTATTATACTGTGGTAGTCTTGTCGGTTTTTCTCCCACGGATTTCGAAGTGCGAACAAAACAATCTGGAAGAACAAGTATTTATACGGATCTGAAGTAACGTATCTCTCGGTAGACGAAAATCTATATCCCCTGAAGGAGGAAGAATTTATTCAAACGTCGCGAGGTTACTCCGGAAAGAATAGTACAAGGTTTCTTCGGAGGCGTCATATTTGCAAGCTCGAGAAGCTGATATTTCTTCGGCGCGAGAAGGATCTACACTCGAAGGGAGGTTACTTCCACGGAACATCTCCATAGAAATAGTTCCGTACGCAATTGCGGACTATCAGCTCCTTGTCAACTTCCGCCTTTCGATTATACCACCCCTGGACGTGTCGACTGCATAAGCAATCGTGCAACTAAAGAACGTTCTGCATGTGAAACAGCACGGTTCCAACTCTGTGTTTCTCGAGCTTGCTCCGGTGAAAAATATCCATTCGAACGCGAAATTCGAGCAAGTACGATCACGTTAGAAGCTGTTTCTAACTACTGGAAATCGTGTTACGAGGCTGGAACGAATTCTCCTCGTATTTCCATCAGCTAGCGATCCCATCTCCTTTTCTTCTTTTCTTCTCTCCGAATCTCTTTCACCAGCTCCCGTCATTTTTCGTTTTTCTATGCGTTGCACGAAGACACGCCTCCCTTATTTTTCTCCCGCTTCTTCGTCGCCTTCGTCTTCTTCTTCTTCAGCTCGCCCTTTCAATGGCCAACAATTCACCTCGTTTCTCGAACGTTTGCCCAGCACTGTACACGAAACTCTCGTTGCAACAAGGGCCCCACTCTCCTCGCAAGACAAGATAGAGTGCTCGTTGTAACTATACCAGCTACGTTTGTCGATTTTCTTTGACGCCTAAGTGTCCCAGAGCTGTCGACTTGCGCGTACCGGCACAGAGATGCTACTTTTGAAACAGTTATTCTTCGTTCCTTCGGCGCCGAGTACCTTCCTTTTGCGATATTTCATCGCCGGAAAATCCATCAGTGGCGGTATTGTGCTATATTTGCGACGGCAGTATTATGTTTGCAGTTTTAAGGGTGTGAAATCGCGATAGAAACGAATTCGTCATTCGCTCCACGAGTTCCCCCTTTTCAGTTTATTCGTTGCTTTCTTTTTCTTCTTCTTCCGTTAATGCGATGTAAGTATTGGCAGTTTAACGAGGCTCCTTTTCTACGAAATGAACCTCACACTTTCGAACACTAAGATCCTCGACGCACGAGAAAATGAAAAATAGAAAGAAAAACCGTTGATTCGTCGTCAGTCTTCCAACGGATCGAACAAGCACACTTTTTTTCTTCAAAGATTTCCACTTAATCTTCAACGTCTTCGTTAAGTTGCTCGGAAAATTGGAATTCTTCCGGTATGTTCGTTTCTCGAATGGAGAATCGGTTATGTATTTCCGCGTTAGCTGAAGAAATAGCGTCTAATATTCGTCAGAAAGAGCCAGGTTTGCATAATACCCTAAGCTCTTTCCATCAAGAGTCAGCAGATGCATGCTTGACGCGTTCTGTGTTCGTTTCCTCCTAACCTGGTACTTTTTCCCGCATACAGGAAATATGCCTTTTGGCTTCCCCTGTTGGTTCTTGCAAGAAAAAGGTTTCACCTACAGCCATCAAGGTTTACCCGCTTTAAAGGGTAAAATGCACGTGACAGACAAATTCGCATGTCGCTCTTCGACAGTTGAACACTTCTTCGTGAGTACACCTTTAAGGGATCGAATCCTTCGATGTGTCACGATTTTTATTTTCTTCCGTACTCTTCCAGTACTGCTCGATAACGAAAATAAAAATAGAATCTAACATCTTAAACATGTCTCGAGTGTCCGTGACAGCCTTTCGTAGATATTCTCATCTAAACAGAGGCTCTCTTCCCAGATCACACCTTTCTTCTTCCTCTTCTCTTCCACGCGACATACGAGACACGTTCCTCCAAACTTACTTCCTCTCCTTTCACTACAGATGACGAATACTCGATTGGAACAGCTATTTGGTAAATAAAAGCTCAACGTAACCAAGGTCGCAACTTTATCATCTTCCATTTTACCATCGGAAGATTCTTTCTCTATACTTTCATCGATCTTCCATTCTTTTAAACCAGCCATCGATCATCATCTCCTCCAGCTTACAATTTCATCAATCTCTCTGAAACATCGAACCACGATCGACCAGCGAGACGGCTCGACGAACAACACACGTTCGGTGCCTTCTGGTTGCTTGATGAAGCTCGCCAGAGTGTCCGAAAGCACGTTCTCTCCTCTTTGTTCCTCTCGGTGTGTTCCTACGTCAAAGAGAAACGGTTGCCGCACGAGCGCGGAGAGGAAGTTCGCGTACGATAGATAAAAACGTGGGCGAGAAGAACTTTCCTCTTGACTCTTCTCTGATGATCGTCTACTGCTGGTTTATCTTGTCTCTCGTCTTAACTTTCCCTC